TGGATCCCGGCACAGTAGTATTTCTCATAATATTATTAATCCTACTTTCACATTTTATTTACAAAAATATATATTACTTACTTGCGCCTGTTGCCCACAATGGGGCATAGGCCATCGACCAACATTCTTCAACCCACTCTGTCCTGGGTCTTCCTTCCTAGTTCTATCCAATTGTTGTTCATTCTTTTCATGTCTGTCTCCATTTCTCGGCATAATATGTTCTTTGATCTTCCTCTTCTCCTTTAGCCTTGAGGATTCTAGGTGAGGGCTTGTCTTATGACACAGTTGGGTGCTTTCCTCAATGTGTGTTTTATCCACTTCCAGAGCTTACTACTCCTCTGGAATCTGGCTTGTTATCACCGACGGTATGTAGTTACTGATAATGTCTGGCCAACGGATCCGAAATATTTTGCGTAGACAACTGTTAATAAACACTTGTATCTTTTGGATGATGGCTTTCGTAGTTCTCCAAGTTTCCGCCCCATACAATAGAACTGTCTTGACATTTGTATTGAAAATTCTGACTTGGGTGTTGGTTGACAGTTGTTTTGAGTCCCATGTGTTCTTTAATTGTAGATATACTGCTCTTGCTTTGCCGATCCGCGCCTTCAAATCTGCATCAGATCCACCGTGCTCATCAATGATGCAACCCAGATATTTAAAGTCTTTTACATCTTCCAAATCTTATCCGTCAATTGTGATTTGATTGGTCCATGCTGTGTTGTATCGGAGAATCGTGGTTTTCCCTTTACGTTTGTTGAGACCTACTGCTGCTACACTGGTCGTTTTCTCCTACATTTGTTGTTGCGTGTGCGATAGAAGAGCCAGATGATCTGTGAAGTATAGATCGTCCAGCTGAATCCTAGCTGTCTACTCTATCCCATGCTCCCTCCAGATGTTGAGGTCTTCATGATCCAGTCGATCACCAGGAGAAAGAGAAAGGTTGAGAGTAAGCAACCTTGCCTGAAACCGGTCTTTACTCTGGATGAGTCTGTGCGCTGTCCTCCAAGCACGACTTTGCACTGTATTCCGTCGTATGAATTCTGGATGATGTTGACGATTTTCTCAGGTACACCATAGTGTTGAATAAGATCCTACAATGTTCTCCTATCCACACTGCCAAATGCTTTCTCATAATCAAGGGAGTTGATGTAAAGTAACGAGTTCCATTCAACTGATTGTTCAACGATGATCCATAGTGTCGCAATTCGGTCTGTGCATGACCGATTTTTAAGGAATCCGGCCTGTTCATCTCGAATTTGGGCGTCTGCTGTTTTAACTTGTGACCTGTGTGCCCTGTTTATTGTATAACGTAACGATACCGCCAATTAGGGAGCAGTGCCTTATCGATCGGATCAATGACGCGTAAAACCGTATGAGCAGTCTAGATTCCTTATTGCTCCTGCTTCCTGCTTAGCCCAGTCAGTTAAGTCCAGAACATCAATCCGAGCCTCTACGATATGAATCATGTATTTCAAACATACTCAGTTTATATACCAATCAGACAGACCACATCGTACCAATAAAATATGAAACAACATTTGTACAAGATCTAGCCAAAAGTGGCTGTGAGTATGGGAGGTAGTAATTAATAGACAAGGCATAACTCAAGAATGGTAAATCGTATAATAATAGTTTATATATCAAAATAAAGCTCATAATAAGAGGAATATGAATATGCATAGTTTAGTTACTTAATATTTATACAATAGAAATATACGTTTCGTATTGGTTCATAAATGGATCCCAAAAGTTACCACTCATTTTTCTTGTCGGGACTTTACATCTACTGAGTTTCCCATCTGGTTCAGCAACACTGTTGAAAACATTTCCTGGTACTGACAGTAGTGTGATACCTCTGTAGTTTTCAAATTTGCTCAGATCTCCTTTCTTTGATATCTTGATGAGGTGTCCTTCTTTCCAGTCCGTCGGCACTTGTTCCTCCTCCAAAATCTTCCTGAATCGAACGTGGTGCATGTTTGCAATTACTTCTGTGTCTCAATTCAGTGCTTCAGCTGATATATTGTTAGATCCTGCTGCTTTTCCACTGTTGATTTGTCTTATGGCCATGGTGATCTCTTCAGTTTTGGTGGCTCAACATCGGTCGGCAGTTCCGTGGGTAGCTGCCTCAATGTCGGATGGATTCATCAGGGCTGGTGGATCCAAAAGTTCCTTAAATTGCTCTACCCACCTGTCTCGTTGTTCTTCAGTGTTAGTGATTACTTTGCTTTCCTTGCTCTTCACTATTCCTTCTTTTTTACGATGATTTTCTGCGAGTTTCTTAGTTGTATCATACATTTGTCTCTTCCTCTTCCACATATTTACGTTTGTCTGTTCTGATGCTCTTCTTCACTTACTTATTTGCTACTTTGTATTCAGCTTGTGCCTTTTCTTTATGTGCTCTTGTTCGGCTGATATTGATTGTTCCCTGCTTATTACTCCTTTCTTTAATCTTATCTAGTGTATCAACTGTGACCCATGCCTTCTGATGGTGCTTCTTGTGGCCCAGAACCTCATGATATGTTGAAGCGATTGCCTCCTTGATCCCCTTTCAGTTGTTGTCCATAGTCGTTCCTTCTACATTGAGTAGATCGTGAAAGGCCTGGAACCTATTGCTGAGGGCTTTCTTGAATTTGTTGAGTCTGTCAGTATCCCAAAGAAAGGCCGTATTAGAATTTTATGATGTTATCCGCCCTGTTATCCAGTACTTCTTGAGTTTCAATTTCATCTTTGCGACCAGCAAGTGGTGATCTGAGGCTATATCAGCCCCTGTCTTAGTCTTACGTCCTCCATTATCCTTCTGAACTTTTTATTGATGGAGATATGGTCGATTTGGTTCGGTGTAGTGTGATCCGGTGCAGTCCATATGCCTTTTTGTACGTTACTGAGTTATTTTTAGGCCTTGAAATTGATATTGTTCATTATCACAAAATTAGTTTAACAGTATCGAATCAAATAATTTAACCACTCCATATGTGTACTGTAGTGTTTATAATTTGATTGAAATTTCTTTTTTATGTCATTCACCTCTTGTCTAGTCGGGTTTATGAATTATAAATACAATTTAGACTTCAGGATGTTTTGTAGTCTACATTCAGCTAAAAGTTCTATTAGCATGACAAAGTATACCTTATCTGATAACTTATGTTTTTAGATTTTTTACTGTATGGGAATTGTTTTTTTTTATATAATATATGTATCCTTATTCTTCTGTCTGTGATATAAAATATTAGTACATAAGCACACCTCAACGTTTTATGTCATATAAAATAATAGAAATATTATCTAATACCATAAGAATCTTCATGTGATTAAATATGAAATGAAAAACCATTGTTTCACGCATGATTTACTCATTTGATAACGAAAAATGGAAATTAGGCAAAAGTGGACTGAGTGAATATGCATATTTTTATCAGGTGTTTAAGCATTATAAGAATATGTCGATACCCTGGTGAATTTGAAATTCTTATCACCCGATCTCACTGTACAGTTTAAAGCAAACTCATCTGTTTTAAATTGCGTTAGAACTGTTTATCAAAACTCAAAAGCATATGATAGACATGAATGTTTGGTTTTGTGCACTTCTATCTTAATAGATAACAAATGCGTTATAGATTTTACGATTTTTACTTTCATCAGTTAATATTCATCAAAAGAGATATTGATCATCAATGAGTACATTATTTCTCTTTTGTATCATCTAAAAATTATTATACACCTCAAGTTCATAGCTGCTTCACTAGCTTTAAATTTATTAAGAGTATTCAATTAATTATTCCTTGGAAACTTACTTATTTTCACGAAAAACTGGTGTGGAGTAATATTGGTTTATTATTATTATTGATGTCAACAGAGTTATGCACAACAGTTCAGATTACTGTACAATTTTATTCAGCGTTATGAATATCGAAGTTGGCTTGTAATCCGAACACTAAGACATTTTAATTAGATTGAATTAGTCATAGGGTCTTCTCTGAAAACATTTTAATCATACCAGTGCATCTCTGAAATATCCATTTGTTTTCAATCTATGTATCAGTGTGCACTTATTTAATCGTTTCATTTGTTCAGCGTACACGAAAGAAACATATTAGTCGTTATCGTCCTGAGGAAAAGAATCACATGAACTACATAAATGATAGTTATTTTCGATAAATTTTGGGACATACATGTTTCTTCATGTCTATGTAGCCAAATGACTTTATTTTCTCTTAACAAATGAAAATCCTAGTTAGTTTCTACATGTACTAATGGATTGTATACCAATATGTTTATTGGTTCTTTGCGTACCTATATATATAATTGACATAAAAGTGTCGTTTAAGTGGTGTATTATTTCAACGTTAAAATATTAGTTTGTCATGTTTTTGTTAAGTCACTTGATTTTTTCCAGCAACTTTTCGATTTCAGTGGATATAATGACTGTACTGATAAGATGTAGGACAATTTGTTTTCACTTTTTTACATAAGTCTCAACATTATTATCTCCTTCCTGAATCAATCATCATTTCGAAGGCAACTTGCCCAATCAATAATTTTTCATGATCCCGATTTCGTTGTGATTTACTATATATATATTTATTGCCGCCTGTCCACTCATCCGTTTTCCTTGTATTTATCAAGTAAATAACTACCCTTCACACACTTCATCATCTCACTAACGATTACATAACCTTTGTTTCATACTCGGAATCTTCTGGCCATTTTTTGTGATGCTTTACTTATCATTACACTAACATGTATCACGTAATAATAAATACGTTTGTTCAAAGCTTCAATGACATCGTGTTCACTGCTTTTTTTGTTTACGTTTTATATCATTCCGATAATAAAAATATGATTTCAACTTTCCGTTCAGTGAATATATTGTACCATTTTATTTTACTAGTCTGTTTTTTACAATTTCAATTTTAAACTCTTCGTCACACAGAGATGAACACCTCGTAAGTTTATTTTCTTGTTTTCATACGCATTTTCATCTGTTTTATTTATGTCAGGTTATGGATATCAATATGGCTTATGATGGATTAGATGATATTGGTTTCGCCTACTCAACTGGTGATACTTTCTCTGATGATCATTTGAATACTGCTGAAAATTTATCCGGTAACGTGACTAAGGATACTGTCCAACAGTCATTACCTCATGTATCCAGTGGGAGTGTTAGTTCTTATCAATCTGCATCTCCAACAGAAAGGGTGGGTTTTGTAAACAATGTAAAGGCATTTGGTTTTTTTAAAAGTATTTCTGTCATGCCAACAGTAAAATTAAGACTTTCAATAACCCACATTTCATCTTAATCATCCAACGGATTAATAATAATAATTTATATATTCTGAAAATAATAATTACAGAATTCACGCCAGTTTACAAGCATGTTCAATTTCATATAAATAGTAACATTAGATGTACAGAACAAACATGTGATAGAAGAAAGTTTTAGGTATACCAGTTCAGTGATTGTTTAGGTAGTACATGTATTACAGCGATCCAATGCATCAGACGGGAACTTTTAATTTTCTTAAATGGACAGCCTGTTGATTTATGAACGGTGTAATTAAGGTCATTTCGTGTGCCAGATCGAATTAATGATAATTTTCTACAACTAGAGAAATTAAAATGAAAACACAGAGCACGGAACAACGAAGCAGTAATTACCAAAATATGTCAATCAGGTCTACCAAAATGCATGTCATGTGACACAGTGATATAACGTTGATGTTAGATGTTATTCAAATTAGTTAAAGTTACTTGGGACGGTGTTAACATAAAGTGACAGCAAGTAGATGGTTTTACTTAGGGAATGTACTAATAAAAGTGGCTAAACATTTAAAGTTCCTATAATATCACTTGTGGAATGAGATACACTTACAGGTGCTAGAACATTCAATGCATTTTCAGAGGAGCAGTATGCATCGATGCAGCGAACAAATAATGGGAGTGATTTTATCGTAAGGATAGATTGTGGTAGGTTATTCCAGAGTCTAGAAAATTTACAGGTGAAGTAATTCATATAAAGAGATGATTTAGAATGAGTTTGTTTCACTAGTGCCAAGGAATTACGGATGTCATAATGAAAGGTTTCTGCATATTGAATCGCGTGATTGGATGTAAACGATAGTTTATTAAGTAGTTTGAAGAAAAAGATAAGATTTAGTTTGAGTCTCCTCTTCCATAAAGGGTCTAGCCCAAGTTTATTACATCTAGAATTATAAGTTAAGGTACAATCAGCTCCAAGAATACGAAGTGTAAATCGTCTCTGTACTGATTCCAGCCTTAATTTATCCTTTATGAGCGCACTGCTAAGAATAAACGTGCAATATTCTAGAAGAGGTCGAGCACAAACTTTGTACATTAGAATACGTGACTCATTGTTGTAAAGATTTCGAGTTATGTAACCTATTAGACGTTGAGACTTAGAGGTCTGTTTTAATATATGTTCTGTAAACGACAAGTCTTGGGAATATCTAAGTCCTAAGTCTACTACTGTATGTAACCTAGATAACACTTCTCCATTTATGGTAATGTCTAGGTTGAGTGATGTATCGCCGAAGCATATCCATCCACATTTAGCCGTATTAAGCTCCAGTGCCACTGTTTACCTTGTTAAGCTCCATGCTGATGCAATTTCGCATATTTTCCAGCTCATGTGGAGAAAATGAATATACTACTTTAAGATCATCTGCATATAGAAGGGGCTTACCGACACAAAATCTTTCACATATATCATTGATAAACACTAAAAAGAGCAAAGGACCTAAGACACTACCTTGTATTACACCACTTCTAACAGGGACAGCGTTAGACAATGAAGAGTTAATTTTAACTATTTGATGTCGATTGCTGTGAAAGGAGTCAAACCAAGCAAGCAAAGGATTTTGAACCCTATAAGATGCGAGCTTACCTATAAGAAGTTGGTGGCTAACCATGTCAAAGGCTTTAGAAATGTCCATATATAGCACTAAGACTAGATATCCTTGGCTACGTAGAGAATAGACTAAATTAAAGAAGTCAAAATGACATGTCATGCAAGAACGATTTTTAAGAAATCCATGTTGAGTATCATTGATAAATTTTCCAGCAAGTAAATAGTTGGAAAGTTCATCACTTATAATTTTTTCCATAATCCTAGAGATAACTGGAGTAATATTTATCGGCCGGTAATTGTTCATGTCAGTCTTATCTCCAGATTTGTAACGTGTTATGATGTTTTCCAACAGTAAGGGTAAGAACCGGTTTCCATAGAGTAAACAGCTTTAGAAGAAGTGGAATATCTGGACCACCATATTTGTAGAGAAAGGATGAAATTCCGTCTACTCCATGACCTCTCGAAAGCTTAAGGATATTTATAGCCCTATTAATTTTCATGCATGTGAAGGAGATAGATTTTATTGAGTTGCTAGTCACGCACATAACTCTTGAAGCAGAGCCACTTGTGATTTCTACACTATTCGCAAAAATACTACTGAAAAGGTCGGCCATGGTTTTAGAGTCGTATATAAAAGTGCTATTATGCTGGATGCACGGTATATCAACATTTCGAGTTGCTTTAGTGCGTTTATTGAAAAGGAGAGTTAAGTTTTGTACTTTCGAGTTAGTATTAAGTGCTAACAGCTCCTCATTAATGGCTTTTAACCTATGTTTTTCTTTAATTTGATTAAAAATTATTGTTATTTGTGCAACTGCTGTGAAGTCGTTTGACTTAAAATAACGGTTCTGTAGGCGTTTTAGCTTATTACGATATTTAGCTGGTATATATAATTCGTAAGGTTTACTAAACCTGTACGTTTTAAGAGGTACACAGGAATCTAAACAAGAGTTAACGATCAGATAGAATTCGTCGATAGCATCCATGAGACTGTTACATGAAAAAAAGTTATCCCAGTCTGAATGTTTAATCAGTGAATCCAAGAGGTCCCAATCAGCATGCTTATAGTCTCTTTATTGACAGGTTTTTTGAATGGGTCGATTATAAGAGGGATAGATAGGGAGAGCGCAAACTACTATCTTATGGTCACTGCTTTCAAATTCATGGTATACTTTTACAGATAGTGGGATGACATCTCTACTAAATATTAGATCAACTATACTATCGCCTCTGGTTGGGGTACGTACTCATTCCATGTAGTAGATTATCGAAAAAAAGTTCTGTATAAAAATATCATTTGCAAGGATTATAATTTTTATTTATGAATGCACTTTGTGTCACCAAACCATTTTTGACTTATTCGTTACTTCATTATGGAAGGAAGAAATTGAACATTTTGTTAAGTTTTAACGTGTTTATTGAGGATACATGGTTACATAATTAATGATTGTCAGTTGTGTTGAATTCTCTCATGTATCATACGATATCACTTTCGTCTCCTGAAGAGTACTTATTAAAAATGGGATTTGTGTTAGATAATTGTGAAAAATGGGGGAGTATGTCAGATACTATATTTATCACAAGCAAATTGAGACAAAATTACATTTCGTTAGATAATTCATTGAGTCACAGTCAACCTTCGTTCTGACACTAGTGTTTGTCGCCCTAATTTTCTGTAACGTACATCTACGCAATGGTGAAGGAAACTGACTAAATGAATATAAATATAAGGGGGAAAATAATACCAACTGAGGTAGGAAGCCTATACATGAGAATTAGAGTTCACACGGAACAAATGAAACAGAATAATGACAAAAATGCAACGAAATCAAACTGAATATTTTTAGAGGAAGATAGCAAACTATCGCAGCTGTAAATAAAAACAATATATTTGTAATATCTCAATGGGTAGAAACATTAAATTTTCCGACGTTTCGTAACTCAGTGTAAGACACTTCTTCAGAGAATAAATAACCAAATAAAAATGATTGAATAGTACAAAGGAACCTTTGTATATAAATATATTATAGTTATGGATAATAATCTATCCAATGCTCAATTCATTTAAAACTACCAAGTCAAACCTTGGTAATGATACCCATCTCAGCTGGTCCCACCGTAATTGATTTTGACGCATGTTACCCAGTCTTTAACAATAACATACGAAGTTTAAGCCAGATATTCGTCTGAATTCAATGTACACTTCTTGGTTATTCTGAGATCATCTCTCTTTCCATTCACCCAAAGTTTTTCGAATTCCCAGACTGTTGCAAACTGCGATTTGTATTAATCGAAGAACTTCGGTTTTAAGACACTAACTTTGTATTAACTAAACAACATTTTTGAACCAAACACTCTCTAATGGATAACTATTTTATAGTTTTCAATTCTCCACTGTTTAAAATTGTTCTTCAATCTTCTCTTGATAAAAACTTTGTTTTCAACCTTTTATCACTGTATGTAGGTTTCTTTATTTTCTGTGCAAATTGATTACCGTGCCTTACAGTGGTTTGAATTGATTGTGAAAAATATTTACGACGTAAAATGTCCTACAACTTTTACGGTATCTTCTTGCATACATTCATTGCGTGACTAAACTGACCTATTTAATTTTTCTTGAAGCGTTGTTTTTTTATTAGTTCTTTTCATTTCGCTAATTTGTCTAAACGTTTAGTGATGTGTATATTGAGTTGTGACAATATATTCTTATTACGGAGTTCTATTCGTAACCGAATTTCCCGTATTATATACTAGATCTACTAACTTTCCTTCTGATTATTTGATCTTCATTTATTTCAAATTTCGCACCGTCAAAAATATCTGATGTAATTTTTCTGATGAAAAGATCAATAAATATGTAGCTAATCCAAACTTTTTTCCTTTTGAAATCTGATAAGTTATTCATGAACTGTTAAAAGCTTACTTAGTAGAAGTTCTGTTGTATTCCATTAGATAGATTTCATTTCGTTTCCCATCAGCACATTTGTGATTATTTGAAGTAATCATGTTTCTTGTTTTCCACAGATGAATGGTAAATGTACTTATTTTGTGACATTCAATGCACTTAGAAACTGTTTGCACATGTTCGTATTTTTTTTTAATTGGAAGATGCGCACCATTTAGATGTATGAAAACATGTGATCGAGAATTCAGTTAATAAACTGGTTGCAAGAATGGTTTTTGGTGGGAATTTTCTTTCTAGGCTAAATGGACATAGCAGCTGCTCACTGGGTTCCATGTGAGTACTGATCAAACAGAGTGATTTTCAGGTTATCAATATGAATATAAAGAACAAAAGTAAAAAAAAATGAATAAGCTGTGACCGAAACAAATTTTTTTCTGAATGATTATCAAAAATTATTATCAGTATTCTTTTTGTGGTTTTTATTGTTTGTTTAGCGGTTATATATTCTTGACATCTGTGACTAGTGTTTATCAATACCTATTGTCTGATATCTTTATGCGTATGCTTTCATGCAGGCATTTAACAAGACATATTTAGGGACAATAATGACGATACGTAGATTGCTTTTATTTTTATATATCTATCCTAAGAAATACGCTGATCGAAATTTCATATTTTCTGTATATTTATATCACAATAAATTATGTCCTACGTTCTGTTGGTCTAAATGTTATCGGTTTCGTTCTATTGTCTTACTGTAACTAGCGTAATTTTTCGTTATCAATTATTTGTTATTTCAACTTCTGCATAAGTAGTCCACAAGTTTAATAACTAATATAACCAGTTTTTATTCAAGTTTTCAGTTCAACTCATCGGTTATATCGAAAAAAATGAAAGATATTACTAGCATTCTGACTAGATTTACTCATTCCTGTCAGTCGAAATTCAATGGAGAAGATAACTGATTATTCAACAACTAAGCCGTTTATGTTTACTTTTTAACAACCTGATATTTCTCATATCTCAACGCTTGACATTGACTTGTAAGCGCTTCCTACTTCCACAAACATCTCTGAAACTTAAGCTGAGCTCCGAACAAAGAAACAAAATACTCTTAGTATGTAAAGAAGCTTTACTCTGGAATTTACTTCAGCACATTAATAGGTTTAGATATGAACCTAGTATTTTGGGAGCCTTTGGGAACATGCTACAGTTAGTTATAAAGTCGGTATTTATCCACTCAGGATATAACACATAATCCGTCGTTTTTTCATGGGAAGCTCATTTCGATTGATTGAACAAGTATTTTCAGCCTTTTCTCAACTTCTGAAGAGGTTTCTGTGGAACTCTTAAGCCCTACTAACACGAACTCTTAGAAACGATCAAGTTGTTGACTAGTTTGTCATAATTAAACTCTGAACAGCAATATTTAGGACATTCGTCGATTGTTAACTCGATGACCTATAAAATCAGCTGATGTGTTATATAAGTCACATTATATTATTTACATAGCTTCCATTCTTTTTATCTTCATGCACATTTATTGATTTTATTTGTCCTTTTCATTTCCGTTATATTTACATGAAATTCTTCATTTAATATTCTTTTAAAAAACTAAGATTATCTAGTTTTTTTTAGTTTTTTTTAAACGATCTCTTCGGTCACATTTTACTAACTCATAATTCTGCGATGACATTTAGTGTTATCGGATTTATTGGCCATTATGATTTTCAATTTGACCATTTTATTTTCTTAATTTGGCTTGATGTTGCTATATAAACTGGGTTGCTTCACTTTAATTTTTGATTTATGTTCGGAACAAAACTATTCTTAAAGTCTTGCTTTCTCAACCATATATTTGCGTGTAGAGTATCAACGTGGAATTGTTGTTGTGTATCATTTAAAGCAGAGCCGGCAAACGTGAACTACTGAACAATTGTTATATTTTCCTTAGGGTCAAATTATTGCTTTCTTAATGTAAGATTAAATAACATTTCTTTATTGTAAAACTAGTGATCTCCACAAAGTTTATTCTTTTATCATGTGTAGTATTAAAAGAGTATTCGACATTCTTTCTTCCTTGAATAGGATTTACGTGTATTCGTTCCAGTACGTCAAGGTAGCCATCATTGGCCTCCAGGCTACCAACCACTTCTTGTTTGTCGTGTAGGCATACTTGGACTAAGCTTTGAGTCAAATATAAAGTCAAGTACCGATCCTACAGCTTCCTGTCTCATCCCTCCGCCATCCATTACAGCTATTAGTATGAGTTCAGCTTTTAGTTTGTAAGTTTCAAACTTCCTAATTATAGTTCTTTGTTTACTTTTTAACTAGATCGTCGAACACAAATTATTTCTAGGTGAAAAATTTCCATTTTTTTTCGATCATTCTACCATCTGTTTGTGAGAAAATCTCTACTTCTCATCCTGTTTCAACTGTTTAGACGAAATTACCTTTCGTAGCTCTAATGGTACAACCTAATCGCGGTACCTGTTCATTAACTGCGTCCTGAGTTTACGCAAAAAAGAAGTCTAATTTAAATCTGCTGAACCGTATAAATCTGATCATCTAGGCTGACTGAGTTATTTGTTTCAAATTTTTAGTCAAGTTGCTTGAGAGTACACACCAGTTTCATTCTGTCAATCAAACTGTTCATGATTATCTTGTGAAACGTTGGGTCATTATCATTTCTCTAGCCTCTAATGTGTTTAAACCTTTGAAATCCAGCTCACAATCATTCACTGAGAAAATAATATTCGTTCATGTTTAGAAAAGTTTATCCTCATTTAATTTGTCATGTGCCTCATCAAATGTTTAATGTACTGTAACTCGTCGGGATAGAATATAAGCCTTTCAAATCACACCTGACAGACTGCTTATGTTCATAATAACAGTTCATTTAGGCTTATTATAAATATCAAGCTATTGTGGTACATTTTAAATGCTCATCTTATTTTTTACATCATTTTTTAGTCATCATGTACAAAAAGTTATTTCAATTTACTTACAATCGTTTTAGTTATCATTTCTAACAGCGGAACTATTACTTGTTTTTAGGATGGCTATTGGAAGCGAATTCGGCATTGCTGTTGTGGATTATGTTCACAAGATTTGCTTGCTGTCTATTTCATCTTCTGACTTATTAAGTGAGTTTTTTAAATTTTTAACTATACTATCCACTATTTTCTAAATATCTGTTTTTTATTATTGGAGAATTGTCGAAATTATTGTTTAATTTACAGCTTTTTCTCATGAAGTAACATCATTTGATATCAAAAGGCAACTGGATAACTGTTTAGTCCATAGTCTTGGACTTCTTGGATTCATACTTTTATCGATGATTAGTAGTAATGAAATCAAGCGAAAGTAGTTAGGTTATGAACGTGTATTGTTTATTTGTAAAGAATCGGTTTTGGTACTCCATCATTATACTTTTGGATAATGTAACAACACGCATTACAATCTAATTCATCGATATCTCAATTTTATTACATTATTTATGATACCCCATTTTGTCTAGTTAATAATAACTACTTCTTAATCTCATCGATACATTTGACTGGTTTATTATTTATTTTATTTATTTCAACACATAAATATTGGTACAAGAGGGCACCAAATATATATGCGCCACACAATATTTGTGTGTGTGTGGGCTGTGATACTGCCCGGGTGCCCAGACCGAAGCAGGTTTTGACTGGTTTAATTACAGTCAAACCTTGTTGTTGAACGATGAATATTGATGCTACAATACTTTCTTCTCCAACCATTTCCCTTTATCTCTTTTGGTGGATTTTTGAAGTCAAACTAGTAATTATCACTAGCATGAACAAAATGAATAAAAAATTGCTGTCTCCACTTTTGTCAGTGTTTGTTTCTAGAGGGAGTTCCCTTTTTTTAATTGTCTGAATTTGCTTTTCGTCTTATCTGATTTTTGTTTTTTCAAATAGTATTCTTTACAATAAACGTGCATTATTACTGACTACTCTTGAACAAGTAGTACACATATTTAACTGACCTTTTTGTCTAAGCAGTTAGACGTTATTAGTTAATTTTATGTAGTCTATGCCTGAGATGACAACCTTTTTATGTCTCTGTGGTAGCAAGTATTTTTTTTGCAGTTTGATAGCGGAATATTGTACCTATACATTTACTTATTGATTTCATTTTTTATTAAACTTATGTTATTAGTGGCACTGCGATGGATTAAGTCTTTTTATTCTTCAATCTTAACGATTTCATTAAAACTCCATTATTCTGAACATAGGTTCATCAAATAAGAACACAACCACTGTTTTGTAGTCTCATTCTCTTCAATCACTCTCAAGAGTACTAGATTACTAGCCCTTTCTTTCTAAATTATTTATTCATTATTTATTTATTTGAACACATATTGGTACAAGAGGGCACCAAATATATATGCGCCACACAAAACAATGAGAATGGGAAGAGACAAAAAAGGAAGGTAAGAAGCATAAAAGAGGAAAAAAGAATTATAACGACCAGATTAGTGTAGGGTAGTGTAAAATAATAACTGATCTCATTGACGCGTTGTAGTTCCAACCTTTTACAGCCAGACTAACATCACGAAGGCGCCAAAGATGGCCCAGATTGGCATAAGCCGCTCTTGTTTTCACTATACGTAAATTGGTCTCATCACTCACGCCACCACCAACACTTACTCAGCTACCCAGATACACAAACTTCACTACCCAGGATGAATGCCGGTTTTGTAGAAGTACTTTGCACTTCGAAGGTGCAAAGCACATACCATACCTACGGACACTGATTGCCAACTGATTAAGTGCGGATTGCATGCCTTGGGTAGTATCGCACAGTAAGACAATATCATCCGCATACTCAAGGTCGAGAAGTCTTTCTCCAGGCAACAGATCCACACCGCCATTACTTACATCCATCAGAGCTGTTTCCAGAATGTCGTCGATGGCAAAGTTGAAGAGGAATGGTGAGACTGGGCAACCCTGTCTAACCTCACTGCTTGAATGGAACAATGGAGAAAGGTGGTCGTATTCCCTTATTCTGTCTGAGGTGTTAGTATATAAGGCTTCGAAGGTGTTAATAAACTTCCCAGGCACACTCTTCTTCAACAGACAGTCCCAGGGAACAGTCCTGTCCAACGAATCGAAGGCAGCCCTGAAGTCAAGAAACACTACGATTGTTGGCGTTTGATAAGTATGGCGGTGTTCTAACATTTGGCGGAGGGTGAAGATATGATCAATACATCCTCGACCAGAACGAAACCCAGCCTGCTCCTCGCGAGTCAATCTTTCTCGGGTTTTGAACAACCTACGAAGTATGACGGAAGCCAATAGCTTGGACGCAACCGGAAGTAGACTTATCCCCCGATAGTTGTTACAGGAACGACGTGAACCCTTTTTAAAGATAGGGACAACTATCGACTCATTCCATGACGTTGGTACACTTTCTAGTTCCCAAACCTTTGTAAACAACGTGATCAATCTCAGTCCAGGCTTGAGATGCAGAGGGAGGACGCCAGGTGGCACATCGGCGATGACTGTGCCGGTAGTTAGTGCTAGCCAGAAACAGGTTGTGGTCTGTGCACAGTTGCAGTAGATGGTCCCCGTTATCTGACCTGCAACCAACGAGTCCCCACCGGCCACCTAAACGACTCTCTTCTGTGCCTAGACGCCCGACCTGAGCATTCAAGTCTCCGGCTAGTACTACAATATTTGTCGAACGCACTTTCTGTAGAAGAACAGATAACTGGTGGTAAAACTCATCCTTGATTGCATCCGGGCTGCAATCTGTCGGGGCATAGGCGGAAATGGCGAAAAGACATCGTTTCTCACGCCGATTTCTTCTCACTTTGATTGAACTTTCTAATCTAACAGCACATAACCGACTGTTAATGGGGATCCAATCGACTAGTGCTGCCTCAGCTCTAGCGCTTAGTGCGACACCAACGCCAGCAAGACCAGACGAAGATGCCACAGGGTCCCCGGATAAGCGCACGTGAAACAAGCTTTTTGAAGTGACAGATGTAGAGCGGATTTGTAGTACTTCACCAGTCTTGAATACGGGTCTCGGATAGACAGCAGACATCGATATGAAGACTTTCCAAAGACATAGCCAGCCCTATCTGTTGTCCAACCTGCATAAGTGTACGAACGTTGAAGGCAGCCAGTTTGAATGGTGCACGTGGTTTCAGAAAAACTGCTTCAGTACTCATATTCGGTGGTAACATACAATTTTCAAACGGACAGTGACTCGAGAACGTTTAGATAGAACCGAGTTTCCACCATAGGCGAGCTGCTGAATAAGTCGAAAAGTAAGGATACATATAGTGGGAATAAAAGAGTGAATAAATGACGTAAATAATAATAATAATAATAATAATAATAATAATAATAATGTGAATTGTTTGACTGTTAGAATTTTCAGTAAATATCGTCATTTTTATTTCATTTGTGTGTGGGCTGTGATACTGCCTGGGTGCCCAAACACGAAGCAGGTGGTTATCTTAGGGGGCCACTCCCCGAGCCTTCGACCTAAAGGTTTGATCCACAAGGCAGTGGAGCATCGTAAGGAGATGCAGTCCCATGGAAGCCGGTGACTAACGATTGGTTCATACGCCATTTGTTCCCGCAGGATACTGGAGCCAATGTACACCATTGGTTTGTGATCCGGTTAAAGCGCTGGACATTCGCTTTTCGTCCTCTCATTTTCATAAACAACACCCCCGCCACGAGAAGACAATGAGTAGGACTTCCCTGGCAGAGGCTGTATACACGTGGCCATGTGAGAGCATTTCGAGAGGGGCGGAGGGCCCACCTCACTCTTGGGCATATCAGGGCATTTGGGGGCTTATTTCTAGATAAACGAAGTTAACCTTTAAATAAGATAATATTCCTCAGGGAAATGCTTTTGGCTGGATAATCTTCTATAAAACTTCTTTGTTCATCATTTTATTTTTTTGGGGGGTCGATTAGTTTGACACTGTGCATTCGACACATATTTTAACCAATGTATCGTTTCGTCTCAACGGTTGTTGCTGCCTTAACGTGATGGTCGCGCTTGCATGCCGTGATGAGCCAATCCAGCTATACTGGCTGGAACAATTGTATACTGCGCGGCAGTTCGTTCTGTTCTACTTTACGGCTGTGAAACATGGCCATTAAGAGTTGAAGATACTCATAAGCTACTAGCATTTGACCACAGATGCCTTAAAAACATTGCTGGCTTCTGCTGGGATCCCTGGGTAAATAATAGTGAGGTTAGACGCAGGGTATTAGGGAATGATGGTAAATTAGTTGATGACGTTGTAAATCTTCATCAACTGAAATGGTTGGGCCATGTGTTGCGTATGCCTGAACACCGTTTACCACGACGAGCAGTGTTGTAGACGTATGGAAAAATGTCAGGGGCGACCGAACCAAAACGTGTCATCAGTGCTTGAAGTCACTAACTTCAGGTCTGAACCATGTTGGTAGATGCAGACTACTTGGTTGGGGTCCGCGTGACTATCGTTACCAATGGTTGGAGACTGTGGGTGACATGGCTCAGAATCTATCACAATGGCGTAGGTGTATATACTCTTTGTCTTCCCTTAAACTATGAGATTCAAGTCGCTTCATATCTTTCATTCTACGAACTAATTCTTTCTTCCTGTACTATGTTCTTATATGCAATCTTTCTATTATATATAACCACCACTGAATCAACTACTTCTATGAATTTGGTGTTCATCTTGTTGTGCTAATGAGGTATGGCGACTTGGACCGATGCATATATGTGTCTGGTCCGATGTGGTAGCTGACTGACTGAATATATCATTGATTGTACTTTGTGAATGTTTTTGTTTGATTTTTGTTAACAACGCGTCTATGTTATCAGTTTTTTAAAACCACGCGCTACTTCATACATTAAGACCTCGTGTGACCTCCTCCAGCTCATCAAATAATCATTGTTTTATTTAATTGAGATTCAGTTAGGTAATTAAATCATTTCGTCAATAATTGTAGTTATATATTTCTGCTTATTATCTTAACAAATGAAAAGTGTTGTCAATATTATCAAATAAACAGTTTACATGATTTTTATCAGTTCTACTAATACTATAAGTATTTATTTTCGCTTATTAACTAACTCCATCAGGTCGTGGTCCTATCAATCTAACTGGGTCGTCTGCTTCGGGTGAAGTGAAATTCTGTGATCAGGTAGTTAATTATATCTTCGTTAGTTGAACTCCCATTACCATATGATTTTTGTGTTTAACCATTTTTGAAAAAACGTTTATATGTAATGAAACGATGAATACCGAAGCGATCATTTTAGATTTAGGCGAAATTTTTTCTGTACCTGTCTATACAGATGTATTATTTTCGTTTTCATTTCAAACAGGCTTTTTTCTATAAAATTTAGCTCTAATAAAACGGTGATCGAAAATGTTAACTTCCTTTTGTTCATGCTAGTCTCATGTGGAGGTTCAATTATAAATCAACCCGATTCATTTATATCAGGTTAATTAGTTTAAATATTCGCATAAAAACATAAATATTGAGTGCATATTCTGCAGTTTAAGGTGTGCACATATTTATTTTTTAGCATACAGTATTTTCTCTATTTATGATTCATCCTAGAAAAAAGGTTTTATTTGATCAGTTTTCCATTTTTTGTTAGCATGTTTAACGAAAATCATGACTATAAGTTTTTTTTTCAAAAGATTCTAATGAAGAAATAACTGAAAACCAAATGAAAGCCTTTTTGAATTTTGAACTATTTACCTTATTCAAGTACCTAGATTTTTGGCGGAAAAGTGGAATTTAGCAAATGTGTCAGTAAACCCATTGTTGAGATGTTCGTGCTAGTTTTCTACTAGCAAACAGGATTTGCTAAGTGGTAGTATTGAAATCGAACAAACTCCGAAATCCATTTTTAATGTTTTTTAGTGCATTATTAGTTTTGTTAAGTAGCAGTCAGCCTGGATTCGAAGGAACATGATAGTTTCTTGCACGCCATGAGATATTTAGATTTTAATGTTAATTCCATAAGTGCCGGTAGTTCGGTCAGTCAGTAACAACGTAGAACTTCGTACGTACGTACATCAGTTCGAGTTGCCACACCACATTAGCACAGAGATGCAGTGGTCGATTCAAATCCCGTAGTGGTAGAGGTAATAAGAGTATAAGCAGTAATCGGGAAGATTAGTGTTTGGAGATGTTATTTAAAGAGTATAATCCAGTGAAATAAATTTGGAAAGAGAAAAAAAGAGACAAGGAGGAATAAGGAGATTAGAATTTGGGAGAACACAGAGAGTGGATGCACCTGCGCCATTGCAAACGATTTTGAGCCATGTCATTCAGGGTCTCTAACCATCGGTTGCTATCATCTCGCGGTCCCCAACCAGGTAGTCTACACCTACCAACATGACTCAGTCACTTGTCAGTGACTTCATGGACTTGTGCCATGTTTTGGTTGGCCGCCCCTAGCTTTCTTCCAACCTACTCCTATACCACTGAACATAGCACGTCGAGGCAGTCGGTCGTTGGGCATACGTAACACGTGTCCCAGCCATCTCAACTGATGAAGTTTCACTACTTCATCAATTGATTTGCCATCCTTACCTAGTACCCGTTTCCTAACAACTGTGTTACTTACTCGATGGTCCCATGATATACGAGCAATATTTCGAAGACACCTATGATCAAATACTAGTAACCTACGAATATCCTCTACTCTTACCGGCCATGTTTCACTGCCATAAAGTAGGACGGAACGAACTGCTGCGCAGTAAACCGTCCTTTGGTTGATAGACGGATATCTCGCCTACGCCATAAATGACGCAAGTTGGCAAAAGCTAGTCGAGCCTTCTGTATCCGTGCTGAGATTTCGTCACACACCAGACCACAAGGGCTGATGAGACTTCCAAGATAAGTGAAGCGGTCGACACACTCAACTACTTCACTCCCTATCACTAGTTCGGGTGTCGATGTAACCCAATCCTGAAGCAACATTTTGCATTTCGAGGGAGAGAATCGCATCCCGAACATGCTTGCATTGTTGCTTAGAGTGGTCAGAAGACTCTGCATTTTGTCAGCGTCTTCACCAAATAAAACTATGTCATCAGCATATTCTAAGTCAACAAGTGAACCTCCCGGTAGAAGTTCAACCCCTGGAAATTTAGATGAGGAGAGTGTTATCTCTAAAAGTACGTCAATGACAAAGTTGAACAAGAATGGGGAGAGTGGACAGCCCTGACGAACACCACTTGAGGTAATCAATTCTGATGACAGTTCGCCATAAGCTCTCACTCTACCAGTTGTGTTCGAGTAGAGAGCCTTTATAAGGTTAATGTACTTCTTTGGTACTCCTTTCAGTGACAAACACTGCCATAGAACCTCACGATCAACAGAGTCGAATGCCGCCTTAAGGTCGAGAAATACTACCATTGTGGGGCGTCTGAATGTGTGTCTGTGTTCTAGAACCTGACGTAGTGTGAATATCTGATCTATACAACCACGTCCAGGTCGAAAACCAGCCTGGTTTTCTCTAGTCTGCTCTTCACGAGCTTTGTTAGGCGTCGAAGTATTATTGAAGCTAATATTTTAGACACTATATTAGTCAAACTGATTCCTCTGTGATTGTCACAAGAGGACTTTTGTCCTTTCTTATAGACTGGCACAATCAGTGATTGAGACCAGTCAGATGGGATTACGTCCAGTTCCCAAATTCTACCTAAGACCTCAGTTAATCTCATTGCTAATACTGGACCACCATCCTTAAAAATCTCAGGAGTAAACCTGTCAGGGCCTGCTGCTCTCCCTCGTTTCAGATTTCCTATGGCTTTTTCAACTTCGTAAAGGGACGGAGGACCTACATTAACTTGCCATTCAGGTTGACTGGAGATCGTGGGAAACCGAAGTGTGGCTGAAGGCCAGTTGAACTGATCCCTAAAGTGTTCTGCCCATCGATCCAATCTCCTGGATTGAGAATGAATAATATGTCCATCTTTCTCTGAGATTGTTTCGCTAACGGTCGGTTCCTAATTCCGGTTTCCTTAACGAGTCTGAACAATTGTCTGCTATTACCTATTGCCGCTGCCTTTTCCATCTCTCTTGCTTTCGCTACCCACCACTGTTCGCGATCATTGCGTAGACTTCTTGTCAGCTTGCGCTTAAGCTGACTCCGCTCTTCATTATGTTCAGAGCCAGGTGGAATGAGTTTCCGAGCATCTATCAGTGCGATAGATGCTGCTGAGATCCAGTGTTGCTCCCTAACCTTCCGGTTTACCTTACTAGCAGATATCACTGCTGTTTCCACAGCTTTTCGGATATCATTCCATGCTGCATCGGGGTGGGCATCACATACATGGCTGCCTAACTGTTTTCCTAGTTGTTCCTGAAATATACTCTTAGCTTGACTATCATTAAGTAGGCCCTAAGAGGTTTCCTTGCAGCGTCTTTCCTACGTCCAGTAAGACGCAAGCAAATACGCGCTCGCACTAGAGCATGATCTGAATCTAGGCATGTGCTCCAGAATGAGCGACAGTCTTCTATCGAGCCCCTCCATCGGTGGCTGATAGCGATGTGATCTATTTGGGTCCAACGTTGGGACGAATTAGGGGGTCGCCATGTTAAAAGATGTTTTTCCTTATGCTTAAAGTTAGTATTTGCAAGGAACAGGCGGTTATCTGAGCATAGCTGCAACAGACGGTCGCCATTATCTGTTCTTTGAGCCACGACACCATAAGATCCACCTAGGTGTCTTTCCCTATCGCTTAGTTTACCTACTTGAGCATTAAAGTCACCGGCCACTATTACTACATCCGAGCGCCTAGCTTTTCGGAGAAGGTCCGAAAGCTTTCTGTAAAACTCATCTTTTACATCATCTGAGCTGCAGTCAGTGGGAGAATAGGCAGAGACGACGAAGAGGCAACGACGAGTGTCCCTATCTTTCCGGATTCTTACTGTTCCGTTCAGTCGGACAGCGCACAAACGACTGTCTACTGGGATCCACTCTAAGAGAGCTAGTTCTGCCCTAGGACTCAATGCTATACCTACGCCGGCGAGGCCACGGGAAGCAGAATCAGGGCTTCCAGATACACGAAGCGTAAATCGAGTCGGTTCTTTATTTTGGCATGGTGAGGTCAAATGAATGACGCTACTCGGATCCTGTATGCGCGTTTCGGAGACGCAGCACACATCGATGGCGCGAGATTCTAAAGTTTTAGCTAAGGAAGCCTGCTGTCCTATTTGGCAAAGTGTTCGTACGTTAAAAGCTCCTACGTGTAGTTTAGAGCGTGGTTTCAGGAGACCAGGAATGGCGTTCCACGTACTCGAATCGTTTGCCCTAGCGGTGCGAGGTGATAAAGAGACGTGAGGAGGGTTAGTCATGGAGATAAGAGAGGTATTAGGAGGTGTAGGAAGGATTTGAATGTGACCAACTTGGCTTCGTGTGCTGTTACGGGTATGAGGGCTGATGTCACTTCCCGGCTGCCCACACCGTGGAAGGGTATTTCTTGAGGAACCTGAAAAGGAAATTGGATTAGTGTTGGTCTTGACGACCTGGGAGCGTGACCGCAGAGCCCAAGGGACAACTGCTTGAGGCCGGTCGCGCACGGCCTTTTTGTGGAAGGTTTCTAATGTGTTAGCTCCGTTCTTCAAAGGGCCTTACCGCCGGAGACGGAAATCCGTGAGGTAAGGTGAGGTGACATTTTTAGGGTCGACCTTTTCTAACCCCTTCCTTCCTTGTGAGAAGGCAGCATCGCTGTCATGCTGGTTGTCCGAGGGATACACCTTACTGCTGTCACACCCCTTTACAGTCAGCAGTACGACTTCGCCCCCAAACCTTGAGTGTCGGTAGTTGATTTGAAATAATTATCAATAAGTTGCTAAAAAGGCTGACAGTTTCCTCAAACTACAAACGTTTTGCTTACAACTCTGTCAGTTGCCAATTTCCACTGTACTATAACGTTAATTTAGTTTGTGTTCGAATGTGACAACCATACAGAAGATCAGAGATAACTTAAGACCCGTAGTTCGTTTGAAATTTTGCTAATTCATGTGTCATTTTACTGCTATAATGAAATTACTCTACTAAAGGCTCCATTAATATAAATTTATACATTACAAACCTTTCTATCCGTCATTCTTTTTAATAAAAAAATATGGTTTATGTATAAACTGTAGTTAGTTGACTATGACATATTGACACCATTCATTCTCGAGGAAACACTTTAGAACTTTAAAGTTAATATGTGACTATTCGTAGAGGATGATCCTTGTATCCGAATGTTTCTGAACTCATTGACTGACATAATTCAGATCATTCTTTACTTTTTAAAGTTGTATCATAACCACTTATTTTAAATTGAATATTACAATAAAAAGTTAACACGATTTACTGTATCACCCAATTTACACATGTGATGATCCTTGACGCGTCTTTGGAACATCCTATCAGAAAAATCAAATAATTAATTCATGTGGCGTTGAGGATTTATCATTCTGGCTCAGAATCTCTATACTCGCATCTTTTTTGTCTACTGAAGTTTTACCTTACATGTCGGTGATACAGGCAGATCAAAATAGTCATTAAAGGCTCCTTCCTTTTTTATTTTTACTGTGTTTGGTGTTATGAACTTTAAGTGACTAATATTTCAACGAAAAAATTTCATGTCACTCACTTTATTTTGTTTAGCCTGCTCAATTAAAGAGATTAACATTAATAACATATCTTTTCAATGAATTTAGTTCCTTGCTTTATAAATGAGTCAGTTATATTGATTGATTTCAATCTTATATTATATGTTTACGTAGGTGTATCTGAGTTTGTGTTTATTGTTTACGTGTTTACCATGTTCCCTCCTAATTTTATTTTTACTACTTTTATATAAAATGTTTATCTGTAGTTGTTAATTGAGTGCTGTCTATCTTGAATACATATGTTGTCTTGTATTTGTTTTCTTATGTTATTGTCGTGTATGTCGTTAAATTTCTAGTATTCTTTTAATGTTGTTATTGCTCAATCATCTCGTAGAGCTTCTATTCAGGACCAGTCATATTCTCTGGAAATATATCTCCTTCGATACTTGATCAGTCTTTTAGCAACAATCCTATGGAAGATTCAGTGTCATATCTAGTTTCAGGGGCATTCACCTCAATTAATCATCGTAATGATTTCACTGATACTCACAAGAAACGCCAATCAAGAAAAGATATTTTCCAAAGTACCCAAAAATGTTTGTTATCAAAAGCAAATAGTTCTATTGATAAACGTCATCGAATAATTACAAAGTATTATTATACAGATGTTAAAGTTATTAATTCACTACTAAAAGTCAGAATTAATGAACTTAAAGTTGATAATAATGATAACCTGAACGGATCATATAAATTTAGAAAGATTTCTCGTCAACATTGACTCGCACGTCATCACCATCGTGATAATCTTATTTGTTGCCTGAGGTTAAGAACTTCAGTCAGCTGAAAACTACTAGTCCCTTAGTAGCTGTTTGTGAGTGAGTTTTTAATATATTGCTTGAATTTATGTATACTATATCTCATATTAGAACTGTTGTTTATATTTTACTCCTTTTTGTGATAATATTAGATTTTCTATGTGTAAGTGTTTCAGTATTCTCGCTGGTTCTCTACGTACAATGTCCTCATTTGCATAGGTTTAGTAAACATGGCTGATCTCTATGTATTCATTTGATGTACATTAGTAACTGCTATTACCACCGGTTAATTACTAAGACTTGCACTTTTCACTTTTCCCATAATATGTGTTAATGGTTAACTTATATTCCTTTTCTCGCATACATAATAATATATTATGAATTAGAATAATAGTTCAGCTGGCTCAACTTCGTTGGCTAATACATGCATTATAAACAATCAGACAGCTTTGAAAAACGTCCACTCAAATTCAGATGCTGCACAATCGAGTGAGTCATCTAGTACCGGTTATACAACACGCTATGTATTATCAAGAACTACAACTGTCAAAAGTGAATTGAAACGTGCCAAGTCCCAAGGTCAGTTGGCTGATTAGTAAATATGTATTATGATAAATAACGTTTCTGTATTATCTGTTGTTTTATTATTTACCTCTATAAATGCCTTATTGTCCCTGTACTGTCTTAAGTCACTCTCATTTAACCTTGATCGTTTCATCAATCGTAACGATTATATATGAAGGTTACATTATTTTCAGTAACAATTCGAAAGACAGTGGTAACGATAATATGTACCTTTGTTGTTAAATTGATAATAAAATGTTAAACATTGATTCACAGCCGAAGACCTCCTGATTAATACGAATTATTATATAACATGTGTACAATCTTTAATAAATTACGTTTTTTCATTGGTGATGCATAACTTACTCGAATTCGCACTGTTATTCAGTACAATATACACTCATATGAAATATAAGTACAATTTCCCAGACGAATTCATTGCTTAAACTTGACCTTTTTGTTCGGTTGACTATACAAAATTCAGTACCGCAAGATTGAAGTGTATTGATGTATAATTATTTGATTTGGTTTTCTTCTCATATTCCTTATCTTTTGTTGATTAGTCTCTGGATTAAAATGTGTGTAGTAACTTAGTTCACTCCATTGTGCCGCGTTCAGTTTAATCAGTAGTTTGTTTTAATATACATATCAAAAACCTAAACATGATTTCTCTTCGACAGATTTGCCTGTTCATTCCCCTCCTAGTTTGTAATTTTACCAATCCTTTGAAATATCCTCAAATAGATTCTCTGTTTATTAAGTACGCATTGGAGTAAATATTGTGTCACAAGTAGAGAGAAAATGCATGATAAATTTATTTTACAGTCATACCGTTATCATTTCCCGTACAAAGACTATTTCTAACAGAGGAACCTTTTACATGTAGTATAATTATAAGCAACCTAACTGAATTATTTGTTGTATATACATCCATTTATAATAGTGGTTTTGGCCTGTCGAACAAATCAATCATCTCGTCAACAAGGACAAACGTCTAATGCACAAAACACTTCTTCAGGTTGTTTGATTTTACCGTATTCTTTGTGTTGGTTTATGTGTGTCTGCTAGTGTGTATGTTGTTGTTAAATTACAAGCATTCTCGTGATATATAAGATTTAAAGTTTCTCCAGTCGATTCGTAAATCTTATATTGAGATTTTGGTGGGGAACTTCTTAGCGTACTCAATGAATGACCTAATAATTCAAATGAATCTTTTTAACTACATTTTTATGTGAATATGTATATCAGTTCTTTTATCACCACTTTATTTGCTATTTACACGTGCTGAAATTTTAAATCCATTAAGGTTGGGTAAACAGATATTTAAAAATTTTTCACTTCATAATTCCTTTCGGTATTTTAAAATGCATGATCAGCTTTATCAACGTTACAATATAATTGTGCTAATTTATTCGTGAATGGGCAAAAATTTGTTATTTTCATTGAAGCATACAGTAATATTATTTGGACTGGTTTATAATATTATTCGTTTTTCTTTTTGAGTAGCCGAAGTTATTTTTTGCATTAAGTACAAAGGATTTTTCTCGAGTTGGTGAGCTGAAATTTTAACTAATAAAAGTTACGGCTAGATTAACACTGCACTGTAATTCTTCATTAAGCTGTACTCGACTACATAGGATTAGATATCATTCGATTTCACTGATATTGGTGCTTTATTTAGACTGTCTTCAAGATTAAAATCAATCTACTGTGCAATTCTTATTAATAACATTTTAAATACTAGTCATTTTATGTAGAACGAGGTATAAGTATTTATTTTTAAAGTCACCTGGATAAAATTTTCAAGTTCGTTCACCGCTATGCCTTAAAGGTTTCTCGTGCGTTTTGGTGTTCTATTCAGGAAACTTCAGTTATATTACGTCAACCAGGTATTATTTAAATCGATGAATAATTAGAAATCTGGAAAGAAAATGTAGATGTTTTTAAGTTTTTTTTCAGATGTATACTTATCATAAAAAACTAACTGTTTTATGAAATAATGACATTCATTAACTGTATTGTTATCGTTCCGGGTGATCTTAGCAACGGGGATGGGATACTGTCATCATTTCTCTTATTGCTTAATATTCTTGAGCACTACTTCACTCGGAAGGTCTCCAAACCAGAACACTGCTGAACAGGAACGTAATTATATTCCAAATAAAAAGGTTGAATGGAAGTAGGAATCACAATAAGAGAAACGTTAGTATACTTATTGTCCTTACATAGGAAGATTCTAGAGCCTTCTCCAAATGTCCACTAGCAGTGACCGGATAAGAATCAGTGTACCCCAACAAAATCCTTTACGGAATGTGCTTTAATCCAGTCTACATCCAGCTAACATCTAACCTATGAAGCATAATGTTTATCGTATACAAATTACTTGAGGGATATTCCAAATCTGAAGGTTCATATTCTCTGGTTAACAGTTAGTCTATGGTAGAAAACTTTAGATATTCCTGATAAGCTATACCAGTAATAAAGTCCTATCTCTTACTTCTTTAAGTTTCTGTTCTAATCCAGCGAGTAAAATAACTGTACGCCTATTTCTCGTTTTTGTATTTGGATGTTTTTTTCTGATCAACCATTTTAACAAGTATTATCTTTTCAGCAGTTACTCATATTGCGTCATTTAACATCTTGTTCGTGTCCAATTTTTTACACATTATATAATGCTTCTACTATTTTCAACTATCTAATATTTTACGCAAAATTTTTTATTCATATAGTAATATTAGCTTATTTTTAATCACTTTAAGTAACCGTAGACATTTCATTTCCATAAACAGGTGTGTTGTATGTAAAAGCAGTTATATTTATTCCGTATATGTACATATACACATGACTATCTTTTATTATTGAACATTTTTCTGGCTTCGTAGGCATGTGTATTGTTCATTTTTTAGATTAATGGATTGATAGTTTATTGTTCGTCCTGCTGAAAGTTGTTCTTATGGTCATCTTTCCACTAATTTTAAAAATTATTTTCCCACTTTCGACGTGATATACGTCCATACTACTTATATTCCATATGAGCGTCTGAATTAATGTATATTCATATTTGTATCATTGTTTTTTCTGCTAACTGGTGTTTGCAAGAATATGCTTCGTTTTTTTGTGATATTCCTTAATACTGTTATCATGTTCGTGTTAATAAGGTGCATGTTATACATCAATATCTGAACAAACTGGAAATCTTACATCTTTTTTCTTAATTCCTTTCTCGTTTGTTTTCATGTGCGTGAAAATCACAGAAAAGTGCTCCGACCTTTCACAGTTTTCACATCCGGGAAGTTTAACCGCAAGTTCTAGCTCGTTAGATAATCTAAACTGTGAGACAATTAAAACAATTTTATTCAGTGAATGGATATCCCCTAAACAAGGTACGTTTTATTCATAAAGTTTGTGTGAAAAGAATAGTAATTTTTTGTAATATCTTACCTTTCCTCATATATTATTCTGTATCCTATATATAGACTTACATTTTGTCCCAAATCTCTGGATCGGGACATCTCGTGGATGTGTCCTTGCTTTGAATCTAAAGTATCGAGTATTGAATAATGTCCCAATCAATCACTCATATTGTATTGGTAATTCCTGTTCCTTTTTCTATTAATAGTACATTTTCTGCATTGATATGTGTTTACGTTTGTGATTTGGATAAATAACGCTACCTTATATTTTAATTTTTCATTATTCATATTAATGTATGCGTTGTTAGTGCTAATTAACTTTGACTTGAGCTCCAAAAATGATACCTTCTTATATATGTAGAAAAAGAACTCTTCCTTCATATCTTGCAGGTACACCTTTTGAATGAATACCGATAAAAGAGAAACGTAGATCAGTCAGCTAGTAATCGATTCCAGCCAAAAATGTCATGAGTCAACTTGGTTTATTGAACACGTTACGAGCCCCATCGATGATTTCGAGTGAGCATCAGAAATTGAACAATATAATAAATAATTTAATACTATTGGACGACTAGAAATCTGCATAATTAGTTTGGGGAGTCATTAAATCTAACAGCATATCAGTTCTTATCGCAAACATCGAGATAGGTGATGAGAAAGAGAAATCTGCATGTTGTTAAATTAGGTGAGAGGAAGCAAAAGTGATTAGTAAGCATATTTGATGTAGAGAAATTCACAGAGATATGTCATTAACCCACTGTGCTGATAAAGCCTTATCTAGTTAGCACAATTATATTTTCTGTTGTTTGGAGACGTTATTCTTTTACATGCAAAATAATATTTCGCAGGAATTAGGTTGTAAAAGAAGCCTTGGTCAAATGATTTTGTCTGTGTTTTAATTCAGTAACAACTATCCCCATCTACTCATTTTAATTGATAATCCCTTATATCAGTCCTCTAAACACTAGATAAATGATCTATGTGAATTTCCTTTTTAGGTTTCAAGGGATTTAATTATAGCTAACTGATATTTGGTGTTTTTGTTCTGAAAATACTGATTAATCTCTATGATGTAATGTGAAAACGAAGTGTTATGATGCTGTTAATCGTAGAATAGCTATCCTTAGTCGTTAAAGTACTTTAATAATGATATAAAATATTCTAAAAATAATAATTACAGAATTCATGACAGTTTATACAGGCATGATCAGTTTGATTTAGATACTAATATTAAGTGTAGAGAATACATGGAAAATTAGATTGTTGCAAGTTTTCTCGTTCAAAAGTTGTTTAGATAGTACATTTTTCAAACGTATTACAACAATGAAATGCATCAGCTGAAAACTGTTAATTCTTTGAATGTGAACATCCTGTTGATGTATTTAAGGTCACTCTTTGCGCCATAACAAATTGATTATAACCATCTATAACTAGAAAAATTAAAATGAAAACAGAGAGCACTGAACAACGAAAGCAGTAATTACTACGATAGGTCAGTTAGGTCTACCATAATACATGTGTCAGGTTATTTTATGATATACTGTTCGTGTTAGATATTTTTCAAATTAGTTAGTTACACTTACGTTGTAAGTGTAAAGTAACAACAGATAGGTAGGTTTACTTAGTATATTCAGTAATAAAAACAACTAAACATTTAAAGGTCCTATAATCTCACTTCTGGAATAAGATACAATAACAGGTATAAGGTCGTTTATAACATTTTCAGAGAAGCATCGATGTAGCAAAGGATAGGAGTGTTCATAGAAAAGAAGAATTGAATTTTCTACTTTTGAGCCATTATGAAATGCTAACAACTCTTCATTAATATTTTTCTTTGATTTGGTTAAAAAATATACTTATTTGTGCAACTGACGTGAAATCGTTTGACTTAAAAAACATTTCTGTAGGTGTCAATTTTTTACAATATTTAGCTGGTATAAATAATTCGTTAGGTTTACTAAACCTGTACGTTTCAAGAGGTGTGCAGGAATATAAACAAGAGATAGTGATCAGATAGAATGTGTCAATGGCATCTACAAGACTATTGCTTAAGTAGAAGGTATCCCAGTTTGAGAATCTTGCCGGGGAGTGCAGAAGGTCCCAGTCAGCATGCCTATAGTCTCTATATGAATGGGTTTTCGTATGGGTTTGTTATAAAAAAGACAAATGGGGAGAGCACCAACTACTATGTTACTGTCACTACTTTCAAATTGATTGTATACTTGTGTAGACAGTAGGATGATATCTCTACAAAATATCAGGTCAACTATATTACCATTCATTGTTGAGATAAACGACTAGGAATATTGGACATTTATCTCACTTAACTAATTACCTAAATCCTGAACTGTTTTATTGATTTTCTTTCAAATAACTATGTACCAGCTTAAATGGCATGTGCATCTCTTATATGTCTGCATGTCATTTGGTATGCATGTTTGTATATCTATTCTATATCTCTGTATGCAAGTTGATTACTTTTTAAATAACTGTCAATTTTACTTGATTAGTAGAATCTATCTTGCATTTATGCTCAATGTTAATATTGATTTTCGTCTTCAATCTGCACACACAAAAGCAATGTTATGTATACACGTATATTATTGAGCTTTGAAATCTTTCTGAATTGAAATATAGAAAGTTCATTTGTATTAGCAAGCTAGCAAAACTAGCTATCTAACTTATTCGTTTTATTAAGACATCGGTCTTTTTTCTCATGATGAAATAATTTTATTATAGAATACCCAAGTATATATCGACTGCTCTTGTTTAATCACTAAATTTGTATTGTATTTTGGGATGTCTCGCTACTTTCTGTTTATCCGAAACTAATAAGAGAGTATTAAATACTTAATATTTCAATTACTTACTGTGTTTTCAGTTGCTTGTCCATTCATCCAATGCTTGAATTTTAATTAATCCATAAGCTTGTAACAGTATTTTATTGACATCGGGCAGATTAACTAAATTGTAGTCCAATCTAGCAACTCTTAAATAAACTTTGTTATATTTTATTTAACACTTGGATTCATGAACTGATTCAAGCTAGACCACCACGGAGAACCTGTAGGCATTGGACGGTCGTTTCGTCCTAGTATGGGACTCAGCTGTGCAGATCCACGAATATATAGTATAAATATTTTCATCTGGATACTTTGGTCTTTTTTACTGTCCATAAAATACAAATGTTTAACATGAATATTTGTAACCAACTTCTGTATGTGATAATTAATAATAAAGTGTGACACCACGGTTTTCGATGGGAAATACGTAATCTTAATCCGATCCAAAAACCAGTCAGCAATATTTGTCATGATTTCTGAACGATTCTTCCTTTTTTCAGCTAAAACCAGAGGACTGAATTTATCGATTAAATTTATCTTGTTAAAGAATTATTTCAGTAGCTCGATAGACTAATTTTGTCAAAATGTGAATCAAATATACCTCTATCTTACATTCTGTCAAACAAGTCTTAGTTAGGTTCATGTGTCTGAAATTCGTAGTTCTCACTGACACATCAACTAGATAAACATTTTACAGACTGGAAAATATGATTATCAGATTTTAATAAAAGTATTATTAATTGGAATATACTTTTTTTAAAATAACTGTCTGTAATCACTTACCATTCATCAAATTTATGTATTATTTTAATTTGTTAACGGAAAAACTGGGTTCTAGGCATAAAAAGGACTAGAGTGGAATGATGTTGAATGCATTTAGCAAATTTACTGGGTCCAACTCGACAATGTCCATTTAAGACATTTTCGTTTACTTGAAGAGTCAATTTAAAAAATTACAATTATATACATTTCTCATTAGGATCTTAACTGTGATCCTACGTTAACTAACATCGAAATATATGGTCATTGAAAGTTGCTACAATTTTATCAACTAGTAAGCCTATGTTAAAAATCTAACCATCTGAATTTAATATTCTGTGTTGATTAGTCTTTCTAAATGGAATAATTCCTCGAAGGCTTCAGTAATACACATTTCTCCAATCTTTTCATTTCTGTCTACCCTTTGCCAATAATGTGCGCGTATATGTGCTTCTTTTAAGCAAACACATAGAGGTTGAAATTAATATAAGTAATCTTGTAATATTACTGGCTTATATTTTATATCTGTAATGTATAAACTACGAAGATTTTTAATGAGTGTTGTCACAGGCCTGTTACCACACCCGTTCAGAAATATTGCGGATTTTTAACACTAATCGCAATAAATACTCTAGAAATTTCTACTTATATATTTATACTCGTTATTTTAGCTTCTTTGTATCGTTTACGTGGAGATATTATTCACATTAGCCTGTTGGATAATACCGGTGATATTTTACCGAGTCCTTCTGAGCGTTGGGATGATTCATTTATTTTCAAAGGTGGTGCTGCCTCTGAACTTTCGAAACAAGCATCTCTTATATCTTGTTCATCCATATGTTCTGAAGGAACTTCTATGTATACTAATGCTGACGCATACAGTTCAACTGATACTGGTTTCAAGTCTTGTGGTGGTGGTGGCAGTGTTCGAGCATTGAAAGAGTCAGTTATTCGACAAAATACAGTCACCACACATACGTCTTCAACATCAACATCGTGTCACTCTAGTAAGCACACAAATATCGTCTTTTCTATATCTTATAACACTAATTGTTGCATATTTTATATTTGTGTTTCGGACGTATTTCTCATATCAATCTCAGTCGTGGGATAACATTTCTTTTCAACGTCTATGTTTTATTCCTATTAATAATAATTGACTGACGATGTGAATTTTTTCTAGAACGGTTGACCGGTCCTTTGACAACCATTTTTCATCGTAAGATAAATTTAGACATTTATCTAGTTTGTCTTAATACATCAAATTAAGATTTTAATTTCTAACCGCCTATTTATTAATTTCAAGATGACTCTATAAATCCACATCAGTTGAATGAGTGGTAAGGTTACTAAGTACATTCCCCAAACCTGTCTCACCACACTTATTTAGCCACAGCTGTACGCCGATAGTTTACGCATCAAAGATTCCAGTGTTTTCATAATTAATATTGGTTTGGGTGATAGATATTCTAAGCTCCAATCAACTGATTGTTTAGTATAGGTACTATTTTATTATTACGCAAATCGCATTCATTAAAGAATCTGTTTTTTACTGCTCGCAACATCTCTTAAATTCAAGTGTAGTGTTGATTGGTTATTTTCGGCCTATATTTAGTTGTAAAGGAGTTATATATTATCAGTTTAGAAAATTTGATCTTAATTTATACTAAAACTACTAGTTTTCTATTGTTCTTTCTCTATGAATTCCAAATTTCATAATTAGCTAGCGTTCACTGACTTCCTGTCAAGTAATTGATAACTGTCTGAACCTTGGACAAAGTATGGATAAATGTTCCGACCTAGTTTGTCTATATTATTGTGTTTGTCATGAAGCGTAAAGATTTTGGATTCTATACCATGTAAACCTATAAAACCTGAGGCGTCACAAACTAGGACGAAACGGCTTTACAATAACTTCTATGGTTTTTCATGGTTCCGAAATTTCACCCTAAACTGAACTAATTACCACTTATTTTTACAACGAAAATTGAGATTCGTCTCCTGATTGAGACGAAAGTGTCAATCACTATAACGATGTACTCAGGATACTAAAAGGGTACTTTAAAGAAAGTTCACCTTATTTTATGTGTCTTCTTGAAGTATGTTTAGCGTGTTGTTGCATAATACTGAAATTCTGCAAGTCATCATTTTTGGTTTGTTTTATACTTTCTTCAGGTACTATACTATCCAATACTATGAGCGGTGGTGTCAGTACATTTCAGTCAAGTGGTACAACTGGACTTGATTCTCCTACAACATCCAAAGGTTTTATCGAGTGTGACCGACAGCTGGTTGTCCTTTGTTCAGAAAAGCAAGCTCGAGTAGTTGCACTTCCTTCACAAAATTGTCTTTATAAGGTAAAACTACTCTTATTTGTTGCAGATAGAATTCCATCATGTTTAGTTTTAAACTAGGTCCACTAACTTCATTTCTTTTGGATACTATTTTAATCTTTTTTTATACAGGTAAAAATAACTGAAACAAGTCAAGTGGTACGTGCTTCCGTACAACGTTTGAGACCATCGCATAATAGCGGAACATCAACGGCTAGTTTCCTCGCATGTTATCTTGCAAATGGACATTTTGTTGCCTTCTCATTACCGAGTTTACGTTTACTAATGGATGTGGATTATTTACCGTATACAGAATGTGTAAGCCGTTCGTTTGCATTTGGTCAGTATGGTCAATCTGTGTATTTGGTGTCGCCCTCAGAATTAGCTAAAATCACCTGGGCATCAGATGTTTGGTAATTCCTGTTTTTTTGTATTCATTAATGTTTCTCATCATTATGAATATTTTTGTCATGTTTTATGACATGTGAATTTATGTATGTTTTTAGTCTCTTCAGTTGTGCTTATTTTCACAGCAATTGAATATATATAAATATAAGTGGAAACTCCATAAAACCTAACTAGCTCAACAGTTTATGGTGATTTATAATGAGGTAATAATATTCTGTAACCCAATATAACTGCAAAGCTAACGGTCCTTACTATTCATTTTTGATATCATGATGTGTATTAAGACTATAATTTTTATCTAGGTTTCTGTCTCCGAGCCTCACTAGTTAAACTTTTGACTTAGATTTCTAACCCGTAAAAACTACTGATTTCATAGGATGCATCTTATCATTCGTCAGTTCATTCAGAATTGTGGAGTTTAATGTCAACTACTGCTCTGAAATCACGTTTTTCGGCTCATTAATGCGAAACTTCCTTATCCACTTATTGGTTGAGAGACACTATCACTCTTGACATTCTCATTTTAATTTGGAAACCATTTACCTAGAGTAAATACATTGGTTGAGTGTTACTAATTGAGTAGACTTGTCGAGTCAGATACCCAAAAACTTCATATTTTATTGCCAAATTCTTATGGTCATATTGTTCGTTTTCAAAAACGAGTTGTCAGTACAGTTTAATTTTAATTGGCTGCGCACTCCTTACACCCACACATATTTAAAAAGGTGAATGTTATGACTATTGATTTTAATAATTATCATGATTACAAGAAGGTTTTTTTTAACACAAAATATATTGTTATTATTAAATGTGTGCTGTTATTATTAAATGACTCTGAGCAAACCAGGTAACAAGAGGTAGGATTCTTTTTGGCTATGAATTGTTAATGTCAATGGGTTTTTCCAACTGATTATTACTCAATATTTAACAATACGGTTGGGTTTTTTAAAGCTGCACAATAGAGGGGACTTTATGTTTTGGGTAAATGGCAAAATATTCCCTTTGTCACTATTGATTATCAAATATATTCCTGGCTACATTCAAGTCCTTGGTTTATGGTCCCGAGTGATAAGTGAAACATTAAATTAACGTACTAGTTTCACTTTAAAGGCTACATAATTCCAAATACTAAAAATATTCTTTTACGAATGTTTCCTTAGAACAGTTTACCGTAAATATTTTTCATATCTTGCTCTATTTTTTTGACTTACAGTGCGAATTTACGTGATATGCAAGGTGAGATATTTCTACCAAGTAATATGCCAGAACCTCCTAAGAAAAACTTTTTTAAAAATTTGTTAAGTGGAACTTTGGTGTCTTCATTAGATCGAGATGAATTGTGTAAGTTTGATCATATTACTACTTCCTGTCACAGTTATTTTGCTGAGTTCTCATAATTTTATTTCATATACCGTTCATACTATTATTTTCATAAACCACTGATAATTATTTAGCCTGCTCTTATTTCAGATTGTTTTCCATAATCAGTCAACTTTCTTTTGTTTACAATGAGTTATTCTACTTTCAGTTTATGAGTAGTACATATTTTGGCATAGTGAGACTTTATCGACAATCTCAATGTCTTTTGTCACTAATATTTAGAGTGATCATTTTGTTTCGTATCATATTTACGAACTCATACAATAGGTTTTAGGCCAGATTTGTTCAGTGAAACTAAGTGAAAACTTCGGGTTACACTGGATATAGAGTGAAGTTAGCGAAACCTAAAATCATAACTTAACTCAAATAAATGATTGTAGTAGTGTATTCAAATTATTCAGGTTGTAAATTGAAGACGATTTCTTTATTGAGATGAAGCAAATTTGAGTCACCATTATATATATATATATATATATATATATATATATATATATATATATATATACTTAATGCTTTTAACGAACGTCTTCTGACTAACTTTTGCGAAATTAATGTTGACAAGTTTGCTTATGCGTGCCAAATTGGTAAATAGAAGCCTTGTTTATCTGTAGATTACATTTGATACGATAACTGCATTTATATGTATATATGCTACGAAAAAGTTCTAAGTTGGAAAATGAATGATGTGTTTATCTCAATTGGGATATGACAGGGAAAACTAGTAAATTATTCCTTCCCTTACTACATTTTGCATTCTTCATTAGCCATTTATTGTGAAATGAGTCATACTATCTGGGTTGAAAGCAATTTTGATTCCCTAATTTTCTCTAGCAGTTTAGTTTTCTGAAGTGTACCCGGTTAGGGTTTAGTCACTCCAATAATTTTATCAATTGATCGCACCGTTGTAACACTATCATTTCCCAAGTTTTTGCATCAAACAAGGGTTTCGCCTATCACTTAAAATTAAATGGGTCATTTTAAATTTTGTCTGACATTTCAGTCAGTTTCTCATTCTTGGAACACTTCCGTCAGCGTTTAAGCAGTAGTAATAAAATGTTTACGTAGTCAGGACTAATTAAAGATTTGTGTGTACCAATTTTCTCATCTTCAATTTGATTTTATAACTAAGAGTTAACCATTTCGATCGTGGTAAGAGTATCAGATTGAATAGTTGAAAGAGTTAATGAATCAACTCAGACTACCTTCGATTGTTATATTTTTTGGCTCAGTAAAATTGTTATTTGCACACTTAAAGTGACATTTACCATATGTCATTTAACTAAAAAAGATCGCGCGCAAGCGTAGTAAAAGTATATAATCGGATAACTATCGTAAGAAATATTTAGACAAGCAATTTGTCTTCGGTAGGAAGAAAATGCTTTTATCAGTACTGTTCATTTTGTGGCAGCTTTTACCAGTCATAGAAAGTGCAAAATCAAGCTTGAACTAATTTCTGCATATATAAATATTCTGGAATAAATCAGATTACAATAGTAGATATAGTGGCTATGCTTGAGATGAAAGTGGTTTCAGTTAAGTTGACAGTAAGTCTGCAAGTTGGAAATAATCAACAACTGTATGTTCAGTAGAATTTCGAACACCGAGTGGTAATAAAAAAGATTAGGCACCGAAGATACGACTCGAAAAGAAAATACAAATAAATGGAATAAGACACAAAGATTTATGAGCAATTTAGAATCTCAGGATTTGAGGAAAGACAAAGAATGGATACACCTGCGCCGTTGCAAACGATTTTGAGCCATGTCATTTAAAGTTTCTAACCATTGGTTATGATAATCACGCGAAGGATTAGTTGTGAGGATAGAAGAACAATTAAGAGATGAAAGAGGGATTCAACCGTCAACAGGATAGTCACGGGTGTTTGTAGCGATAGGAGGGCGGTTGTCACTACTTGGATTTTTCTTCGTGATGGACCCCAAAAAGCTGAATTTCTGGTGGTCTTAGTGACCTGGAAGCGTGACCGCAAAGCACAAAGTAAAACTGCTTGAGGCCGGTAGCGCACAGCCTTTTATGGGGAGCTTTTGATGAGTTGGACTCGCACTTTCAAAGGCCTTACTGTCGAGGACGGAAATCCTTGGGGTAAGGTGTGACATTTATAGGGTCGACCCTTTCTAAGCTGTTGCTTTCGTTACGAGAAGAGAGCATCGCTAAAGATGCTGGTTGCCTGAGTGAAACACCTTACTACTGTTACACTCCACTACAGTCAGCAGTACAACTTCGCCCTATGACCCTAAGTTTCTGCTTCTAGTCTTGCCGTTCTCCAACCGTCGTGTACGCAAGATACTCAATTTCAGTCGGCCAGAAACCATCAACAACAACCTACTGTGGGAGAGAATAAACTATGTTCCGGCTGAGGAAATTGGGAAAAGACACTGGAAGTGGAAATCACCAAACTGCATCACGAGGCAAGCGCGAACTCAGAATCTTGAAGGGAACCGGTAAAGAGGGAGGTCGAAGAACACACTACGTCGGGAACCGGAAGCAGACATGAGAAAGATGAATAGCAACTGGGAAGGATTGTCCAGGACGGAGTTAGATGGAGAATGCTGGTGAACGACCTATGCTCCTTGACGAGGGGTAACAGGTACAAGTAAGTAAGCTCCCCAACCGACCTACCTGGCATAGTAGGGCCTAAAGGAATATTTATTCCAAGCAATATAGTCTAGTTGAGTTATCGCAATAGGTATGCCATCAAATCAAGGTAGCAGCTGCGGTCGGGCGGTTACTTATTAAAGATGTTCAAACTCAGTGTTCACTGAGCACACAACAAAGATAAGCAACGAAACATTATCTAGGTTTGTTGGCTGTAAATTACGATTACTAATCGCCTTTACTGTTCTCTTAATCATCGTTGTTATGTAATGATTGAAACATATTTTGACTTTTTATAATATTTTGGAGCATGGTAAACATAAGCCATGCAAATTCCGTATGCAGCCGCACTTTGTCAAGCTGCATTTTACTTAGACTATTGTCTTCGAACCAAAGTTCTCATTTTCATTGATAGTCATTGTAATGAGGTATTATTATGCTCAACACAGTAGTCACAAATCAACACCAGTGGATTTAGGTGGTTTATATCGTGTAACAAATACACAGAAATTCTCATTCTTTAGTTTCTTCTTGCTTTAGTTGGTGAAGCAAGTTCGGGGAAGGGGACACCTGGCGCTACTACTCTGCTACCAAATGCTCGTTTGGAAAAGTTATCTGGTCAAACTGGTGCTGCCTCTTCTGAAATTGCACGAGCTAGAAATGCTGCTATCGAACGTGGTGAGCGGTTACAGCAATTAGACCTACAAACGCAAGAGATGGCTGATCAAGCTAAAGGTTTTGGTCGTTCTGCTGCTATTCTCGCTGCCAAATACGAGAAAAAGGACAAACGCTGGGGTTTGCCATTCTAAAGAAGACTATTATTGCAGCAATTGACCCTTCCTTATTTCCCTATTTGATTGCTCTCAGGTAACTTTGTTGACTTAGTATTTCGGGGCCTACAAGATTTCGTAACTGTGTTCTATCTCACTTTAACCCATGTGCTAAAAACAATGATGAACGATATTCTACTTTCATATTGAGGACGAGTGAAAATTATGTTTATATTTTCGTTCTTCAGTTTTCCTCCTTAATATATATCTGACGTAATAACATGTACGCCGTAGGGACTTACGTTTCTGTATGCTTGTGACTAATCGTCACTGTGACCGTTGTTTTTGTATTGACTGTGGATTTTGAACTTCTTATTGTATTTTCTGTTGCGTTATCAAGATGTTTATATTTGAGTTATTATTTTCTAGCATCATACGGAGTTCTTGTTTGTGATGTCTTACACAATCCGTGTTGTTGGTCACCACTCTATATCCATCAGATATACATCATAAATATTCACTTGTTCAAAGGAACACAATTCCTCCTCGTGGTTAATTTACATTAACAACTGTGATTGCTATTTTTGTTGTACTGTTGGATCATATGACAATTTTGTCTCACCACTCACTTTTATATATATATATATATATATATATATATATATATATATATATATATATATATATATATATATATATATATATATATATATATATATATATACCTTCTAGTCTTCATTAGCTGAATCTTAATTATTTCATAAGCTTGTAAAAGCGTCGAACGCATTATTTCAAAATCGATCGCTCTCTTCAGAAACTCTCTGTCACATTCATCCCTAAATTTACTGGGTCATTTTACTCATTCATTATTTTTCATTTCGTATGTTCTATTTATATCATTAAAACTTAGAAACAAAATAGCAAACTTTGTCCATCGTCTTCTTTCTTATGATAGTTTCACTTAAGTTAGACAATCCAGTATACGTAAAATAAAGAAAACTCCTGATTATTAATCAATAACTGATAAGTAATCATCGTGCTTCTGTACATTAAAGATTTATGAAATTCATTTTCCCATACGAAGGCACATTAACTTAAGGTAGTAATTTTTGTACTGTCTGTTTATGAGACTAAAAAATTGATGAATGAGTTACGCTCACTCAATCATATCTATGATTTGATTGGTTGTATTCAAGCTGAACCCAACTCAAATACATTTAAAACATGGTCAAACATCATTTATAAATATGATTACTACCGGCAGTGCATTTAGCTTAGCAGCAATGATCAGTTTAAAACCAACCCTACTTGTCGTTATGATTATTTCCACTATACAGATTAGTGAAACAGCTGTGGCATCCAATCCTCGTACATTCAATTCAAATTCATGGAGAGGCAATACGTATCTCGTATCCTATCCAGTCTCAGAACGTTCACCATATGCGATGGCACGGCAGGATCAGCAAACGAATCTCCCGGGTCCTAGAACAAAATACATCAACCGTTACTCCACTTTTCAGTCTGATGTACCGTCCTATCCACTATTTGTGCAACCAACCATGAATCCTGATCCCAAACAACCAACATATTTAGTTGAACAACAACCTGTACAAAGTCACACAACTATCACGTATCCTAGTGACCAACAAATCCAACCAACTGCAACAAACACTGTTTCTGATGACGAAATGGAAATCACGCCTAGGACAATTGCTCAGAACCCACAGTACTCAGACTCTTCTATTGTTGGTGGCCCGGATGATGGAGTTATCGGGAGTAATGGCGGTATTCTCGGGAGTCCGCAAGATGTCGCAGTAGTTGAAAGTGCAGGTCAATCACTTTATTCCGGTGATATGAGACAAAACCAATATTTGTATCCTAGTCCAGTACCACCAGATCCAAGACTTTATAGTTCGCCCATGAATCCGCCTCGATATCAATTAGATAAACGTATCAATACTGCATACTATGGGATAGGTCAATATGAACAGCCGTTGTACAGTCAAGTACCTAGAGGAACTATGCCCTCATCACAGTATACAAATGGACTTACAAGCGCTAGTATGTAAGTTCTTAAACTCCATAATATAGTTTGATTTAAAAGTCTTTGATTACTTCATTTATGGTTGGGGCAGAAGACAATTTACACTCAGTTTCCAGTTAACACTACTCTTGTAGCACGTTTTCGGGGCGCTGATGACTAAGGCTAGTCAGGGTGGTCTAGATATTACAATAAACATTATTACGAAATGCTAGACTGTGGGAATAAAGTTTACGATTATTTGGATGCCATGTAGCATGATAAGTTATTAATTGCTTATTAAATATGAGTATGTGCATAGCGGAAATAAAATCAATAACTAGGTAGTATAAAGTAAATTCTACGTGGGTCGAAAACATTACGAAATTTCATACACTTCAAAAGTGAATTCTGAGAAGTTTTAAGATGAACTAAGTTCTACAAGTATTTGCAAGATTTTGAGTGAAATTTTAATAAAATGCGTAGTTTGGGGAAAATGTATTTACAGTAAGTGTGCAAACATAACGATAGTTAGGTGAAAGACTGTTTAGAGAGTTGGAAAGTAAAGTTTATTGAGTTAATGTCCAACTGATACAACCACAATTTCATCTTCTGTAGTTAGATGAATGCGCCAATCGGAAGGTTTTAATGTGCAACCATTAGAGTCATGCAACATATGCAACAGACGGTTTTGTTCTTCAGTAAGATTATCTCTGAAAATTAAGAAACAAAATCGAAAGACTGTCTATATTCACTGCGAAATGGCTTTGTATGTTCATCTTTAAAATAAAAAGCTAACGGGGAAAAAATATTGGCAAAATCTAAAAGTCTTTAAAGCTAATTCAGAAAACTGTTTCTAAAATACTAACCTTAAGAAATGCGGTATACTGTACATGAATATGCTTTTCGTTCTCAAGTTAAAAGTTTACACTTACGTAAATACTAAGTTTTACTGAAATAAAGCGGTACTACTAATCTACATAGTGCATAGAAATATTTTTGAGTGTATAAAATATCCGACTCTAACAGAACATTCTGAGAAGCTAAATGGAATGAACATTTAAGCATTATAAACATTAAATAACAAAGTCACAAAAAGAATAAAGTGGTTTAGTGGAAGTGAGACAAAAACCTGCTTCCGTATTAGAATCAACATGTGACAGATTTAACTGTGATTTCTATTTCAGGTGTTATGAAACTACTTCATCCAAATACGAAGAATTGACATCATTAATTCATTAGAACATTGGCTTTATAAGATATGCTGCTTTAGTTAAATCAGGCCTAACGAAATAGAAAATTGTCAACACATATACACAATGATTTATTTATATATTCAAACCATTGGGAAATAATTGGGGTTGCAATAGGATTTCTAAGATGACTCTTCATGTTTTTCTTAAATAATGTAATTAATAATGAATATGTAGATAAGAAACAATCATTTAGCTTGAATTTAAACGTTAAAATGACAACGTACCAAGTCTAATGCTCCCTATTTTCCTTTAAAAGATCGATAATTAATTTCTACGTATTTAAACATACTGTGCGAAAAGAGGCGTACCGCAGCTCTGCGTTTCAGTATCAACCTCGTATAAGTAATTTACAAACGCAGGAAGTATGACTTCTTCATTACAAGTGGTTGTGATGTTTTGACCGAGTATTCGGAATATCACGAGTCAGTAATAATTAATGTAAAGCCCGGTACAAATGTGGATTACCTCATATTACCATAGCGCATTAACATGAGTCAGTGAATAACAAACGAATCGAGAAAATGAAGGAGCGAAGAAAAGCCAAAAACTGAAACTACGATTCAAAAAGGTATAGCTCAAGAAATATAGGACATGAAGAACTGAGCAGAATAAGATAAGGTCCGAATGAATTTGCAGTATTATAAAAGATTCTAAGCAGTGTCACCTAACTTCTCTAACAATAGTTGCAGTTTCCGTACGGTAACCACCTATGAAGCCTGGATCAGTCCTAGTTTATTAGGCGAGTCCTAGTTAACCGTCATATTATTAAGGCCAATATTCTAGACACTATATTAATCAAACTGATTCCTCTATGATTATCACAAGAAAACTTGTACTTCCTTGTACAGTGAACAATGATTAGCGATCGAGACCATTTAGATAGGATTACGTCCAGTTCCCAGGCTCTGGCTAAAATCACAGCCAACTTCTAAAGTTGAACTACTATACCTAATGATCTCCGGGATTAACTCATTAGGACCTCCTGCTTCCTCCTTTTCAAGCTTTACAAGGCCTTTTCAACACTGCTATAAGAAATCAAAGGGCGAGTTTAAAACAATTGGGATTTTTTAGCCAGTTATTATCCATCAGTATGGTCTAGAACAGAGCAAAATGACATCACAAAGTGTAAACAGACTTCACCGGATTAAATAGCTAATTCTTAGGGTTGGGATTTAGGAATATGGTTTATTTGAGGTGATAAGTACATGAAAATAATTGACCAGTTGATAAGTCTACTACTATCATCTTGCAGTGAACAATCTTAATTTTTCCTTATAATTTCCAACCTTTTGAGCACTACATTTTTATTTTTGCTGCTGGTTTTACGTGATATATGGATCTCATTCAAAAACTTAAACGGCATTTTCTTGATTTATGCTGGCCTGCCTTTTCACTCTGAATTCTTTTTTTTCACAAGATTGCTGTAAAATATAACCGAATTGGAATAAACACAGAATGTGTTACGTACTCTATTGTAGCCCAATTAATGTTTTTATCTGACATACTTAGCAGCTATATAATAACAGACATAGAGATAACACGTTTAAGGTACACTTCCTTTCTTATGAAGTATGAGATTTCTTTAAAAGGACAACGTGAAATGTAATTTTCGGCATTCCTACCACATTCCTGGAAACATGAGCAACATAATTTAAGAGAAATTTAACTTAGTAAAAAAACTGAGTTCAGTTTTGCGTGTATGACCTGGGTTAATGAAATGATTGCAGAGAAACTGTATTTTTTTAATCAAGCGCTTATCATGTACACCTACATTACCTTGCATCACGTTTACGTTGACGAGCTTTAACCAGACGCTTATTCAGTGCCTGCCTTTGTAAGCGAAGGTCAGCCAGACGTTCTGCTAATTCATCACGAGCAGCAACCTTAGAACGGCGACATCGTTCGGCTGCTTGACGGTTAGTAGCTCGTCTACGTGCATCCGACATAGCTGTTAGCTGAATGTAGAAAAGAAACAAGTGAACGTCAGATTAGGAAAATACATATATGTTCCAGGATTCATGGGAGTACACCTGTTAAATCTGAGAGTCCGGAATACTATTTGCTTTTTAAAATAGAATATTAATTTTTATTTATTTTAACACATAGATATTGGTACATGGAGGCACCAAATACATATGCGCCACACAAATCTCATTTGATAGGTGTGAGAGCTGTGATACTGCCCGGGTGCCCAAACCGAAGAATATCCCCATAAACTGTAAACAAATACTAAAGATAAGGTTCATAACAATGGCAAAATACACTTTTTTCTAGAAATTTATCTACCTAATTTTAGAGCTCTGCAACTGTAGGCCTCAACATACACATAGGAAAAAGCAAGATCCTCAAATACGACACGGAGAAGACCAAGTCAGTCACACTTGATGAAGAAATTCTAGAAGAGGTGGAAACTTTCACGTACCTGGTCAGCATCATCGATGAACAAGGAGAACCGGATGCAGACGTAAAAACAAGGACAGCATTTCTACAGTTGAACAGTATATGGAACTCAAAATAACTGTCAACCAATATCAGTCAGAATCTTCAATACGAACGTTAAGATAGTTCTACTGCACGGAGCCGAGACATGGAGAACGATCACAATCATCATCAAAAAGGTACAGGTATTTATAAACAATTTTCTACGCAAGATAATCAATGCCAGTCGGCCGGAAACCATCAGCAACAGCCTACTGTGGGAGAGAATAAATTAGGTTCCGGCTGAGGAAATTAGGAAAAGACACTGGAAGTTAAAATCACCAAACAGCATCACGAGGCAAGCGCCAACTCGGAATCTTGAAGGGGACCGGAAGCACACATGAGAAAGATGAATAGTAACTGGGAAGGATTGTCCAGGACGGAGTTAGATGGAGGATGCTGGTGAGCGGCCTATGCTCCTTGACGAGGGGTAACAGGCGTAAGTAATTTTAGAGTTCGAGTTTTGGGGGATAGAGAAGTTGGAAATAATAGGTGACAGAGTTCAAAATCACTTATAAGTATAACTAAACTTAACTTTTATAAAGTCATACATGCTTGTTTTCTCAGTATCTCTGATTCTTATGATATGGTTTTCATCTACGTAATTGAACATTACGTCAGTGACGGAAGAAAATCAGTTTTACGTAGCTGATACATTATTTTCCACCAATAAATTGATAGCAGTTTCAACAATTAATCTAATACGTAGGGTAACTTACCTGTTCCTCTGTTAAACCACGAGTGGCTCTCAGATGGCGAAACTCTTCATTTGTCGAATATACGACATCTTCATATGAAAATGGGACTCCAGCAACCTCAAGTACATCAATATCGCGAATATAACGATCAGATCGCTTGCTGACTGCTGAATTGGAACATGTTGAAGACGAACTTTTTTCGTAGACATTGTCTTTAGAATTAGAATAGCTGGACGAGTTTTGATGATAAAGAATTGGTGAGATAATTTGTGATTCTGTGTCTAAAGACTTATCAATGGGTTCTGAGTAGATTCTTTTGTGTTCTAATCTTGAAAGTTTACTATTATCTAGTGGCCAATTACCAGACGTGTGAACAACGCTATTTGTGTCGACTAACTTCAAACTTCTTGAATTCTGGAGATTATTGTAGTGAATGAAATATTCCTGATCAAACTTATAGTCAAGTTCTGAATCAGAGCTTGAACTACACTGTACAATATTAATTAACTCCTTGTTATCATCGAGCGACCCGCGACGATGAAGATCATCTAAACTGCTTGAACTTTCACTCCTTAATTGAGGATCTGTTTTTCGATGCAAATAGTTCACCGACTGTG